GTGTGCGCCGGTATGTGCAGGGGGACGTTGTGGTCACCGGTCACTGTGGGGGGGACGTTGTGGTCACTGGTCACCATGATGCCGCCAGAGCACCAGAACCTCATGCTGCCGTTGTATGCGGGTGACCCGAGACTGAAGATGTACCTGGGCTTTCTGGGCCCTGTCACTGTCACCACAGGCTCATCCAGGTCAGCAATGGTGCGAGGAGCCCGACGAGGGTGCGAAGTCCTTGTCACTCAGTTTTCAGGAATACTCCCGGTACCGCGAGGCGGCGCCGTGCCATCCTTTCCACTGCTTGTCCGTGGTCACCGGTCTCCGTGTGACTTAGGAGTGAAGGGAAGGAAAGTGGCGTGCAGGGCATTTTGCTGGGAAGACCGTATGCGACAGATCCCCTGAGGCCCCGTCTTCAGAGGGGCTTTCCTCTCGCATTTCCTGGGGCAGGGGCGCCCTGGGCTTTAGAACGACAGCGAAGATCAAGACACGTCACCCAACTTACCTGGAAAACGTCCGATCAACCCCGAGCGGTGTTCTCGGCTTCTCAAGACCCCACTGTAAGGGCGTGTGGCCGCTGGTGCCAGCTGGAGGTGCCCGTTGGGGCCCCCGGTGACGGTGAGCCCTGGCCGGGGTGGGCCAGCCCAGCAGCTGCGACGGCCAGCCAGAGGCGATGACCGGACGGACTTGAAGCAGATGTGCTGGGCCGCTCCTCGGAGACGCGGAGTCAGACGCCGGCACGGAGAGCTCGCTCAGGAGGCCGGTGGGCACGCAGAGTGGCACTCAGGGGTACTTAGGGGTGTGCTCTGACACCGAAGTTGGGGAGGAGCTTCGGTTCCTGCCGAGCGACCCTGGGCTGCGGCTTTGGAGCTCCATGTGTGCAGGACGTCGTTCCTGACTCCCGGGAGCCCTGCACGCCGCAGGCCCACGAGGTGGGGCTGAGCATCATGCAGAAGGGTCTGCTTTTGGGCAGTCAGGACCAAGACACCCCGAACTCTGGCATCCGGTGGATGGGGTGTCCCAGGGTCCTGGCACTCGCTTTCAAAGTCCCTCCCCGGGGCGGGGGGCTTCAGGAGAGGGTCTTCACTTCAAGGTGGGGGCCCAGCATCGTTTTCTGCAGGGGCTACCGCTGAGTCTTTGTTGTGGGACAAGGCCCCCACCCCTGGCCTGGTGCTGAGGCCCAGGGACCCACCTCCCGCTGCCCCCACATGTGTCCTGGCCCTGCTGCGCTGACAGGACAGGCTGGCCTGCCCGCTCAGTCAGAGGCCACCGGAGGCCCTCTGTCTGAGACCCGCAAGGATGCTTCCTGAGTCGCTCTGGGGCGATTCCCGGAGCCGATTCCCAGAGCGAGCTCCTCCTGCTCTGACGGAGGAGAGCTGGGCTCAGGGGCTAGGGCGTCCGAGCAGGGCCACGGCACGAGTGCCCACCAACGCGTGGACGCGTACCGAGGACGTGCCGGCCTTCCCGCTGCGGGTGGCGCTCCCTGAGTGGAGGCACCTGACCGCTGCCCCGTCCCTTTGTTCTCAGCTGGGCTTCGGCGCCTTCCTGGGCATCCTTGGCATCGTCCTGGTGGAGAACAGACAGCAGGTGGTAAGGAGGCCCTCCGCGCGGGTGCTACCCTCAGCGAGGACGTCACGGCCACAGCTGCCGTCCTGGGAAGGGTCCCTGCTCCCAGCTCACACCGCAGCCTCAGACCAGCTCTGAGCCCAGGCTGTGCACACACAACCTGTCTCAGGGCCATGGCACCATTCGTGGCCTCGTCTGAGCCCGTGGCAACAGGTCGTAGGGGCTTGTCCTGAGGAGTCCCGGGTGGGCTAAGCTGGGGGAGGGCAGACTGTGGGGCACCCTTCCCAAGTCGGACACTGGCCTTCTCCAGACAGACAGAGCAAGGAGGGGAGGGGAGCAGGGAGAGGGGAAGAGAGGGGAGGGGAGGGGAGACTAGCAGGGAGAGGGGAGGGGAGGCTAGCAGGGAAAGGGGAGGGGAGAGGAGAGG